TCTAATTTTAATGAAGCATGAATGATACTGTGATCACTATTACAAAAATGTTCCAAGACTCTAATACTAAGAGAGGTAGGAGTAGCTAACAAAACATCTAATATAGTGTTGTACCTATTGACGACCTTAACATGTTGCTCTAGATCAACATAGGTACAAAAGTTTAGAAAGTCCTCTTCAAATTTGTTGCTACTTTTTAAACAACTATTTTCCCAATCTATGTTTGGCATATTAAGATCACCTACAATTACATAATCAGTTCCAATTAATTTTAATTTGAGTAACAAGTTGTAAAGGTCCCTAGTGAATTTGCTTCCATAGCCCGGTGGGCGGTATAGATTTAAAAGGGAAATATTTCTGTTATTAAGATAAATTTTAATTATCAAAGATTCATAAGAGGAGCAAACATAATCATCAAAGGTTATAAATTTATAATAATCAGGAATAAGCATGATAAGCCCACCTCTACGAATATTTGAACTATTTATTGTTCTATCATTGCGTGACTATAAAGCCATCAAAGTTTAGTTCGCAATTATCAATAGAGTCATCCAACCACATTTCATTGATACAGAAAATACTGTTTTGGTTATCAATTAGTAAAAGTCTTAAGTCATAAAGTTTATATTTTAAACTTCTTGCGTTAAAAATATATAAAGATAAATTACCTCTTATTTTATTAATCTTACTTGATAACTTGTCCTAGACTGCTGCAGACTGATGAGAATATGTTGGAATCAAAAAATTGCTCGTCGGTGCGATCCATTGGCGAGGCTGCTTGAGTTCCACTATTTGAAGATTTCTGACGACATACTTTTTCAGATTGAGACTTTGATTTCGTGTATAACATTCTTTTCGCAGCTGTTTATCTAGCAATAATTCTCTTTTCGTCAGAAATTTTTTTTCTCCTTTTATTTTCTTGTTTCAATATTTTCAGAACCAGTAGCGTTATTAGTTATTAATTGTTATTTTAGGCAGCTCTCCGTACTCTTGGTCATCTTTGTCAAAATACTGCCTATGTAGTGGATCCTTACAAGGATTACCCCGAACTTCTTGACGTTCTTTTAAAATTGCTGAAAACAGAAATGAGTATTTCAATGCGTCATACTATTATGAGGGTCATTTCTTGTTTTTTTCTTATTCATATTCTTTTTTTTATATTTTTTTTCATATATTATTTTTTCATATATTATTTCGTTTCTCAATTTTTTCCCACTTATTTATTTATTTATTTTTATTTTATTTTCAGGTTTTGGGTATAATCGGTGCATTAGATCCTTTTACCCATAAAGTATACACAGGGAAAGTACAATCAATCGCCTCCAATTCCAGAAACTTGTCACTTCCCATGATAACTGCTTCTGTGGATGTAAGCAATGGTTAGTTTGCTTTTGCTACAGTTTTTTTTCTCGTTAGTTTCCCTTTTGCTTTATTAAAATTTTATTGTTGAGCATTGTTTTTTATTTGTAACATAATACAAATTACCATTTTTCTAATTTTAGATATTATTCAGTGGTTTCATTATGAACGCTTTACTCTGGCAGAATTTTACCCAGAATTGGCTATCGCAAGTCTTGTAGAAATGCTAAATGATGTTACTCTTTGTCATTTATATAAGAGTATAATACAACCATTATTAACAGTTTTAAGCAGCGTGGGGCCAAATTATGCATCCAAAGTGAATAAGGTTTTGATTTTTTTCTTTTTTTTAATTTTTTTTCTTTTTCTAGAATCAGTTTGCTAAAATGTGGAAATTTTGAATTTTTTCAGATAGCTCCTCGACTTCTTGATATAGCTAGTTCATCAACGCAATCTGATCTTCGGCAATATTATCTTCAACAAATAGCAAAACTTACTGCGATTGTTAAGACTGATATGAAACCGTACATATCGAAATTATTTTCTCTTATTTCGGTAATTATTTTTCGATTTTTTTTGGGGTTTTTTCTCTCATTTCTAATACCAAAGCAGTAAAATTTGCAAAAATAAAAAATTTTTCCCCGATTTGAATAATTAAGGATGATTATCATTAGATTTTAAGGATATTTGGTGCGATGACACTTCCATAAAATTAACTATTATAAATGTTATGGATCAAATCGGTGTTGCTCTTGGATCTTCATTTGCTTCACATGTTGCTGATTTATGTCCATATATATTGAAAGTTATCCAATATGATCGAACTTATGAAAAGTCGTTAACTCTTGCGGTAATATATTTTTATTAACATTTTTCCTGGCATTTAGAAAATTTTGATTTATTTAATTCTTTTTTGTTCTCCCTTTATAGGAAATTCCACAATAAGCTGTAATTCTTAAATAATAGGCTTATAGGTATTTTCTTGCATTCAGTCGATATCACCGTGTCTTGGCTCATATCTTAATCTTATACTACATCCAGTTCTTTCTATACTTGATGATGGATCGATAAAAATTGATGTGCGATTATCAGCATTAGAAACGATATGTCATATTAGTGAAAATGTCTACCTCAGAGATCATGCTTCTTCTATTATGCAAATATGGATGCGTGTGATTTCAGTTCATGCTCTTCAGCAGAAATTGTTGCATTTACTTGTTTCTCTTGTTAAACAGGTTAAGCCCAATCACTTATTTATGTTTTATTTTATTTCTTTTATTTCAATTGGTTTTTTCATTAATCTAAAAGAGAACCAGATAGGACTGTTTGTTTAGTCAAAAAAAATCTAAAAATCTTCCTTTATTCAACAATGGTTTTCATTAATCATTAATTTATTTTTTTTCTAAAAATGGCAAATGGCAATGCCATGCTGGATTAATATTTTTTTTTTAAAGTTTTTCTTCCTCATCCCTTATTTTTTATCAAAATACCTCATTTAATTTATATATGCCTTGAAACTAAAGAGAAGTTTTATTAAATTTTAATTTTAATAAATTTAAGATGTGGAAACATTTTTTGGTGTTTCGATCAACTGTGGACCAAGCTCTAGCTAAATATGAACTGAAATGCGACGAATATATTATGTAAACTATTTGATAAGTCTTACAAAATCAAGTGAAAATTTGGTTTCACATTTTTCACTATCGTAGATTTATTCCTTTCTTAGGTTTATTTGTATAAGAAAGAATATAAAAAATTTGACTTCACACAACATTGAATGAAATGAGCATAAAAGAATTCATTATTAAAATATAACATATAAAGTGATTTCTGGTTGGCTTATTTGTTGACTTATTACTAAATAATTTTATTATTAGACTGACAAGCAGGCTGGATGATGACTGTACGGTTGCACCAACTCTTCCTGATGGTTTTTCACCAAATCGGTTGCCTTCAGCATTGAAAGCTTCCGCTCTAGTTCGATCGGAGAAGGGCCAACGAATTAATTTTGATTTATTAAAGAAAATTTGGAATACCTCACAGCTTGTTTCAAAAGAAGTTTGTTTCATTTATTTCGAAAATGTTTTATTTTCAACTGAAAGCACTTAAATATGAAAGTCATTTTGTTTCACTCATTGTAATTAGTTAGTCTGATTAGGATTGGGATAGTTGGCTTGGCTTACTTCGTACACAGTTTATACGACAAAGCCCATCGATTGCCATTCGTGCATGTGCTCCACTTGCAGATGTCCATTTGCAGCTTGCCAAGTATTAAACTTTTTTAATTGTTAAATTTTGCTCTTTTATTTATTTTCTTGTTCTTTATTTTTTTATGCTATCAAACATACTAGTGCAATTTGCAATTCTTAAAAATCTCCAAAACAATTCTCTAAAACTATCCAATCTCGAAAAATATTTTGAAAAAATATTTGCAGAAACTTATTTAACGCAGCGTTCATGTCAATATGGACTGAGTTAGAGCCTTATCAACAGTCATTTTTGGAAACCAATTTGAAAAATATTCTTGATACTACTGATCATCAAGATATTATACAAACAATTTTAAATCTAGCAGAATTTGTAGACCACTCTGAAAAGGTTTTAGTCTATTTACTTTATTTCCAATTGTCATAAATACAAAATGCTTTTACAACCTTGATTTGCTTGTATTAAAGAAAATTTGGAATACTTCGCGACTTTCGGATTGTTTAATATCTTCGGATTCTTCGGATTCTTATAGATTTAAAGTAATCATGAAGATTTTTCTTATTTAAATATTATTTATTATATATTTCCATAAACAGGGACCTTTGCCAGTTGGGAATGAACGTCTCAGTAAATATGCCGAAAAAACACATGCATATGCAAAAGCACTCCGTTATACCGAACTCAATATTCGAGAAAGATTGAGAAAGTTGGAGTCTTATGTAAATGATGATTCGAAACAAGATGCGGAATATTGCAAGGCATTAATAAAGTTCGTAATAAATTTTTGATAAAATTTTTTTTTCTCCATGATTTATGGACTTTTCTTCCTTTTCTCTAATAGATGATAGATAATAGATTTCGCTATCATTTTCTGTATATCTCAAATTTGAGATTTATGCTATATCTCAAATTTTTCTATCAGTTCTTCGCAAAATATGTAAAAGCAACTTTAACTTCGCGAAAAAATGAGGTCCTCCCATTCCGATTAATCATCGCTGGTTCCCAATTGTAACCAGTAGCATAAATTTTTTTGTTTATTTTTTATTTTTTTTGTTTATGTTTATTTTTTAAGGCTTTTTTCTAGATATGCTAATAAACTGAATGTGCAAGAAGAAGCTGCTGGTGTTGTGGCTTTTGCTAGAAAACACAATATTGAGATATCGGTAATAATAATTATAATAATAACAATAAATCTTTGGTTAATGGTGTATTGGTTAATGGTGTTAATGGTGTATACTTTGATGGTATAACTAAAAACAACTACTTTTATTCTAATATTTCTGCGGAAAATATTAATATTATATTAATGTCATATTAATGATCAGAGTAGGAGCTTAAATATTTTGTGTTAAATGTACGAATATGTATTTATAGATTGAAGGAAGATGGTACGAAAAATTAAATGAGTGGGAAAAAGCACTCGAGGTCTATGGTAAAGAGAAAAGTATAAGTGATGAGGTATCTTCTCATTTTTTCTGTAAAATTTGCTTTTTGAGATTTCTTGCATACATTTTAAAATGTCCGAAATAAATTCGTTTTAAAGATTTTTGCTCATTTGAAGGAAAAAATTGTTTAAAAAATAAGAAAATAAGATAAAAGTTGCCCTTAGGCATATCAATGAGTTTACATTTTAATACATGTTAAATAGATATATTTTCACCAAATGCACTGTATGGAAATGCTTGGTCAGTGGCAAGAAATCAATGACTTGGGAAAACAATTATTTACTGGAAATAGGAAGCTGGATCCTGTTTATAAACAGAAAATGGCTGTTGTTGCTGCTCGAGGTTGTTGGGCAATTGGTAATAAGTTTTTCAAAATTCGAATTTTCCAAAAACAATGGATATTTGGCTTGTTTATAAAACATTTATATTTGAGCCGAAATCACATGAATAAAATGAAAAAAAGTGGCATCAAATTTAACAAAACAAATTTAGGTTATGGGAAAATTCTCTTTTAGGAACTGATAGAATATTCTTCACCATTTTCCAGAATTGCATATTACTTTATGCACTAAAATTTTCACCAAAGTTTTTGTATTATTCTCGTACAAAATTATTTTTTCTAATTTTAGGTGATTGGGATTTAATGCCTTCGTATGTCGAAAAACTGAATGCGAATCATCAAGATGGCGCTTTTATGAAGGCTGTATTGGCGATACATAATAATAAATTCGATGAAGCTCAAGATTATATCAACAAAGTATTTTTACAAACCTTTCGTTGATAATGTTGTCCTCTTTTGCTTTATTGAACCCAATATAAAAGTTAGGATAGCCGAGGTGGTTAGTGACTCAGATTATGGTGCTAAAAGGCAGTGGGTGGTTCGGCTCTTGCTTGCAGCAGGAGCAAACTCTCCATTTAAAAATCCGAATGGTGCAGCAGGCTCACCCGTTCTTATATCGCCATGTCGTTCCCTGGCAAAGATTTTTGATTGTATAGCCAGCGGAAAAAGCTTGACATAAATTGTGGTAATTAATTTCAATTTTTTTATAGGTATAAATGAATTGCTAAATATTTTCGAGCTATTTGTTTTCATTTTATAAAATGTTTGTTCTTTTTATTTATTAATTAAATTTTCTGAATTAGGTCCGCGATATATTTGATGCTGATTTAACAGCGATGGCATCTGAAAGTTATGAAAGAGCTTACGGAGCCATGATTCTTGTTCAGCAACTAACAGAATTAGAGGAGGCGATTGAATATAAAAGATGGCCTGACCGCCGTTCTCGAATAAGTGTAACCTGGAGTCGAAGATTACAGGGCTGTAGAAAAAATATTCAACAATGGCAACAAATGCTTCTTGTAAGGTAATTTTATAAGGTTTATTGTTTTTTGTGTATGTAGTATAAAAAATATAAAATTTAAAATTTTCAAAAAATCTATTATTAGTTTGGCAGAACTAAGCTCATTTTAATCTCCCAGTCCTTTTCTTTTCTTTATACTAAGATGGTTGTACTAAGATGTATACTAAGATGTTTTATAAATGTTTCGTCACTTAATCGCACATTTCATTGCATTTTCCTGTTTTTCTATGAATTACAAATTAAGGACGCGTTTTTGGGATGATTTGTTTATATTTAGCTTTTTTTTCTATATTTCAGAAAAAGCTGAAAAACTTTGCTCATTTGTGTGTTAAAAGTTTTGATTTTGAAAGTATTTGCATGATGATAAAGAATTAAACCAGGAAGATTTTAAAATTTTGATATTTTGCCAAGTACGCTCTGTATATAGTTGTGGTCTTTAACAGTCAATGCATCCTTTATATTTTTTCAGATCTACAGTTTTATCAGTGAATGAGATGAGACCATTATGGATTAAATTTGCCTCTCTCTGTAGACGTCAGAATAAATTGGATATGTCGCGTCGCGTATTGACGAATTTACTTGGTGTTGATAAGGAAACCCAATTAAACGAAATACCCAATTTGCCTTTGGATAAACCTGCATTGTTATTAGCTATTTGCAAGCAGCTGTGGATTGAGAAACATTATAATCATGCACGTACAACTCTGGAAAAATTGGTTACAAGCATGGATCATGACAGAGTCAGTTTTGACAATTATTTTTCATTTTGGTGTACTTCCAGCTTATTTTTGTCTAACAATTTTTCATTTTGGAGTACTTCCAGTTTATTTTTGCCAAATGTTTCAAAGTAACCTTTTAAAAAGTATTTTTGTTTTTAAAAGTCAAGGCATTCTAGGCAATGATCAAAGCGAATGCAGAATTAAGTCATATTGCTGCTAAGTGTTGTCTAAATTTGGGTGATTGGGAAGAAATAATGTCATCACGCAACACACAACAGTTTCTGCCTTCAGCTCCTATAACATTTCCTCCTTTTATGAATTCTCTTCATTCCAATATCCATTCTAATGTCATGCCTGTGCATCCAGTTTTTCCTAATTTTCATATGGGTGTTATTGTTTCTGGTCCAATGATAATACCAACTATTCATAGTCAGCCTATAAAATACTATACAATCGCTTGTAATTTCGATCCCAATTGGTTCAAAGCTTGGTATAAATTGGCGACAGCATATTATAATTCTTCACTGTGCCTGTCGAAAGATGAGGTGATAGCGTCTTTTATTTTTTTTATTTTTGGTGCTTTATTACTCCTTTGATCTGCCTAAGGTTCATCCTATTTTAAAACATGTAAATATTTAAAATAAGTATTCAAACATTTTCTCGTTTCTCCAGTTTTTTCCTTTAATACTCCTATAATATAATTCTCTGGCTTTTGGACACAGAAGTGAAAAATGAATTTGAGTCGCAAGGACCACTCGGATTTCATTTTTTATCGAAAAAAGAGATCAAACCAATGATAATTGACCTTAGCCGATATAACATTGCTATTAAATATTGCTATTGCTATAACATAACATTGCTATTTAAAGAAATTTTTCAAAGCTGATTAAATCGAAACTTCCCCATTTTTCTCCTGATTTAATTTCATTATTTAATAGTTTCGATAATCTCTATCGATTCGTTTATTTGGTAAAGTTAATCCGAAAAATTAAAAAGCGGCAAAAAATTAAATAATTTAAATTAAAGTGGTGCGGATAAATATTCGTAATAAAATATTAATCATTTTCTATCCCAAATATTCGTTTTTTTTGAAATTATTGTGATGTTTTCTTCTAGCAAACATCGCCAATTTTACTGGAGCAGTCGGCAGTTCCGATTGCTGCACCTGTTTGTGAAAGCATGGTATACTATGCAATACAGGCTGTAAAATGTTTTGTTAAAACTCTGGTACTTGCTCAGGGTATGTTTGTGTTATATACTTTATATTGTATTAATTGATTATTTTTCTTATTGATCCAAATGTTAAATTAATTTTTTGTTATTTCGTTCATAGTTTGACCTCTTTTTATTTTAACTCCATTCTATAGGGTCTCGACTTCAATATATCCTTCGTTTTTTATCATTATGGATTAAGCATGGTGATAACAAGGAAGTTTTCGAAAATATTCGTGAATCAATAAAAATATTACCAGTTGAAATATGGCTTGAGGTTCACCTTATGTTCACCTTATTTTTCATATGAATAGTATTGAAATTTTAATTGAATATTTTAATTAAATATAGATATATGTTGAAATTTAATGAAATGCATTGAATATCCATTGAAGGTTGTGCCGCAGCTGATTTCACGATTGGATTCGGAGAAAAATGTTATTCAACTTATTAAAAAAGTTCTTATTGATCTGTCTAAAGCCCATCCACAGGTGTTTTTTCTTTTTCATTTAATCATTAATTAGACATTAATTATTATTTTCTATAGAACCAGATTTTGTTTTGTAGTCCCTTCTTTATGCTCTGACACTCGCAGCACGCTCTGGTAATGCACGACGATCCAGTGTGGCAGTTGAAATATTGATTTTAATGAGTGAGGATAAACAAATCCTAGTGGACCAAGCTAAATTGGTAACTGATGAGCTTATTCGATGCGCAATATTATGGCATGAACAATGGCACGAAGCGCTTGATGAAGCATCTAAACTATACTTTCAAGTAGTTTTTGAAATTTTTATTTTTCATGTCGTTCATTATAATAGATTTAAGAGTTTTCAGGAAAATAATCCTGAGGCCATGATTGAGCTGCTTCAGCCTTTGCATGCGCTGCTTGAGAAGGGTGCAGAGACATCAAAAGAGCAATCTTTCAAACAGGTTTCCATTAATTTAATGTGATTTTCTTTTTATTTTATGCCTTGTATTTTTTTAAGCCTTTTTTCTTCATAGACTTACGAAAACGAGCTGAAAGAAGCGTGGAATGCTTGTCAAGCTTATGTTCGTCACACCAGCGATGCGAAAGTCCTAACACAAGCTTGGGATCTCTATTATACTGTTTTTCGAAAAATAACTGCTCAGCTTCGTCAGTTATTATCTCTCGATTTAAATCATGTCGCTCCAAGGTTTTTTTCACCATTTTTATGTTGATTTTTAATAATTTTCTTGCTTGATAAATAAATAGAATAAAAAATTTGAAAATTTGCGTAGTTAGATTTAATTCACAGTGAAAGAAAATTTGCAAGATTTCTCTGTAGAATTATCAGCTTTATGACTGGAGTGGCATGAGTAATAGTTATAAATGATTTTTTAAATTGCTGAATTGAAATTCGTTCTCTTTACGTCGTTATTTATTTATTTTACTTTAGATTACTGAAGGCGCAGTATCTTCAGTTGGCTGTTCCAGGGACCTACGATCCCAATCAACCACTAGTAACGATTGCATCGGTCGGAAATCATTTACAAATTATAAGCTCAAAGCAAAGGCCGAGAAAAGTTGTTATTAAAGGTTTGGGTTTTTTTCAATATAATGTGCGAATTTTTTGGACTAATATGAAAGAAATAGAAGAAATTGAGCCATTTCATCGATCCTAAGCGATTTATCCTAAATAGGAAGTGATGGGAAAGATTACATGTTCCTACTCAAAGGGCATGAAGATCCACGGCAGGATGAAAGAGTAATGCAACTCTTTGGGCTCGTCAATACTCTTTTATTGAATGAATCTGATACCTGTCGTCGAAATTTAACAATTCAAGTATTTTTTTTTGCAATTTTTTGATCATTTTTCAACTTTTTGATTCGTTTGTCGAAGCTTACGAAATGAATCTTGTTGCAAAATGTTGTTATTTAAAGAAAACAATGATTTTTAGTTTCTCAAAATTTTTATTTACAGCGTTATTCTGTTATCGCTTTGAATCAGAACAGTGGACTAATTGGGTGGGTACCTAATTGCGATACTTTGCACACCTTGATTCGTGATTATCGTGAAAAAAAGAATATATTATTATCTTTAGAGCATAAATTAATGCAGGCGTTTGCCACAGAAGTTGATCAGCTTACTGTGTTACAGAAAGTGCAGGTACCACAATTAATATTAGGTACTATAATATTCCCTAATTTTCACAAGCTATTCTCTAAAATCTGGGATTTATGATATAAATAAATATAAATAGAATTTAAAGAAAAATAATTTAAAGAAAAATAAATTTAATTAAACACCCATCAATTTTTAAATTCCTAATTTTTTAATTTGATGTGTTAGCCACTTGCAAAACTTGAATATCAAAACTTGAAAAACATTCTAAACAAATAAATAACTATTTTTATCATAAAATTGTTTTAAATTGTTTCAAGTTTTTTATTTTCTTCTTTATTTTCAATTGTTTTTAAAAATTCTTCATTCTGGAATGAATTTTTGCCTTGATTGAGTTCTGCAGTTTTCTGAAGTTTAATTGAAGGTATTTGAACATGCTCTACAAATGACTCCTAATAAAGGAAACGATCTCCAAAGAATAATATGGTTGAAATCACCTGAGTGAGTATTAAAATGCTCCGTTTTGATTTTTATTAATTGAGTTTTTTATAAATTTTGTTATTTTTAATTTATTAAAATTTTTGATAATTTAACTATTGCTATAGAGATAAAAACCTTTCCACGATACATATTATCAAAAACATACATATGGACATTATATTAAAATTTAAAACTTTCAGTCGTTATTCATTCATTCTGCAAATTTGAAATAGATTTTGGAGATAATTACAATTTGTTGTAATACAAACTGAAATTTTAGCTCGGAAGTTTGGTTTGATCGACGCACCAATTATACTCGTTCATTGGCTTGCATGTCGATGGTGGGATATATTCTCGGTGTTGGAGATAGGTCTAAAATTAATTTATCTTTATAATAATCTTTATACATCTCTACATTAAGTTTTATAATTTAATATTTTTAGAATAGCATTGCAAATCGACTTTTCTTCAGAAAATTTATTGGCAGAGTTATATATTGACGGTTGATAGTTTTTTTTTGTATTATATATTGACAGAATAAGGTTTTAGACATCCATCGAATTTAATGTTGGATCGGATCAGTGGGAAGATAGTGCACATTGATTTTGGGGATTGTTTCGAAGTTGCAATGAAAAGAGAAAAATTCCCAGAGAAAATACCTTTTCGACTTACTCGCATGCTTATTCAGGTGTTTTAAATCGGAATATTCTTGGTAAAATAAATGTACACCGCGTACACCACTATTTTTTTGTTGACTATTTGAAACTTAATTATTGATAATTTACATACTTGGGAATTTCCCTAAGCATTTGTACATTCTTGTTTGAGGCGATGGAAGTAACTGGCATAGAAGGTAATTATCGCATCACGTGTGAACGAGTTCTCCGAGTCCTTCGTTCCAATCGGGAAAGTCTGCTTGCAGTTCTTGAAGCATTTGTATATGATCCTTTGATAGCATGGAGGCTTATTGATGGTGAGTATTGTTTCTCATGATATTTCAAAAGGATTTGTTCGTAAACAAAAACGTTTTAAGCGGTGTAGGAAAAATTATTTTAATTTTATTGCTTTGCATATCATTTGTTATTTGAAGATAATTATTCACAATTTATTCATTATCCATTTGCGCGAAAAAATTATGAATGCTGTGGATATTTAATAAATGAATTAAAATAAATTCAATAAATTGTATGTAGTTAAAGTCAATCAAAAGGCTTTTTTTGCAGGCAATAGACGTCCTCCACCAGAGAAAGAACAACAACATTTAGATAGTCAAACTGATTTGAAAACTGGTAACCAAGTTTCATTACATCCGATAGCCCAACATTCATTACAAAGGATTCAGCATAAATTGACTGGTAAATTCAACATTTTATTTTTTTCGTTTTTAGATTTTAGTTTATTCTTTGAATTAACTTCAAATCCTTAAATTAACTTCACTTGTTGTTTTATCATATTTAATTGGTACAGCAACCCCAGTTCTACTTCCATAGAATGCACAGGTGTGAGTAAACAAGTTCTCTTTTTTTTTAGATTTTTTTAATCAGATATGAATTCGTTAGTTTGAAAATTACTCTTAATTCAGCGCTGATATTTTAGGAAAGGATTTTTCATCAAGCGTTGAGTGTTCAGTGTCGGAACAGGTCACAAAATTGATAGAACAAGCGACACATCCAGAAAACCTGTGTCAATGTTACATTGGATGGTGTCCGTTCTGGTGATCTATATGTTTATATCCTGTATTATAATCTTAATTATATTAATTTTTAATATAATTAAGATTTTTATTAAGATTTTTTGACTGTACTTAGAAGTTTTTTTAGAAAATTATAAAAGCCTTTCATATTATGCGATCGTGGTGAGTTATTTATGCTTTTTTGTTTATGTATATTTATGTAAATTATTGTTTTCACTGGTCTTTCTAACTATCGTTATATCAATTAAATTGCTGAAGAATATTTAGGTTTTTGATAGTGTGTATATAAATTTCGTAAATTTGTATTTTTTTAATGATTTTTCCAAGAGTTTCGTTGATAATACTTTGTTCATTTCAAATACATTTCGATATATACATAACCTTGTTATGCACATTCGATTCAAAAGTTGTATGTGCAGATATTCGCCAAATCCCACTTTCATTTAGAGAGAAGAAAGTTTCACAGAAACAAAAATTTATTCTACGTTAAATGTGCGAAAAAACGAGCGATAGATTACAATGGTGAGCAGCAAGGCGTTATCCATGAAAATTTTATGAATGACAATTTCTTTATTTAAATTTTTATTCCTTTTTATTTTTATTCCTTTTGCAGTTTCTATAAACGTTGGCTGCTTTATTAAACATTTTTTCATATAATTCGGTTGTTTTAAATGAATGTGGTAATTTTTTGCGAAAAATTCGTGAAGTATCACCAACCATCATGTAAAATAAAATAATGTATGAATGATTTGAATTGTTTTAAAGAAATAACCATTAGAGATTTTTACAGATATAAATTTAATCGAACGTGAGCGTCATAATTTTTTTTCCTTGCTTTCTTTCTCTTTTTTTGATCGAAGAATGATTGGTGAATAAATGGGATTTTCCGTGATAGGAATTTCTCTAATTTCTGTTCTCTTTGGCAATAATTCGAAAATTCCTCGTTTTTTATCCATTCAGTTTCCATAAATCAAATTCGTTTAGAATTTTGGCTTTTCTCTGCAATTTACGTCTTTGAAAAGGATAGATGTTCATTTATAAATCTAAAAAAAGCAATATTAGATAAGTTAGTGGCAAGGAAAAACAAGCAAATCACATAAAGAAAATCTGAAGATTAAACAGCACACAGATAAATATTGGTTAGTTGGTTGGCGAAATTTATAAAATATTCTCCTTGGATTTGTTGCTAGTCTGAGGCATTGAGGATTAGAAAATGTGTTACATGCAAGCAGAGTCAGTTCACTTTTCATGCCTAACATAGCGTTTGCTGAAACCATATGAAAATTTAAGCCATTCAATAAAAAATAAAAAAGAAGTTTAAATGATAAGAACCGAACCCGAAGAAAAAGGAAGGGAAAGAAGAAGATTTACATGTACAAATATGAAAGAGTTTGCTTAAATTGAAGAAGTTATTATCAGTGATTTTCACAAGTAAAATGAAAATTTTCTTCAGATTCCACGAAACGCTCTTTCATTGAGTGCATCGGCAAGTTTGGCTATCCTTATTCGCATCTCGAGTTCGTCTATTTGTTTCATTGGATCGAAATCATCAATTTCATTCGCATCGAGGACGAGGATCGCCTAAAATTATTCATATAACAGCCAATTTCAAGCGTTTTTTTTTGAAGAAACGCTTTTTTTATGTCCATATTTGATTAGATTCGCTCTTCCAACTCTTCGACCACAAAGGATTTCCGAAGAGTCACTTGGCGGTGGGAGGCAGATGGATTGCCAGAATCATCTGGATTTATGAAAACAGGTTTACTACTAACAGGTTTCAGTTGCACTGACAGATAGAGAAATATCAAAATGAAGTTGAACTGTCTATAAAGGATGCAACGCTCGAATTACGAGTAAAACTCGATGGAGAACCATTCATTATGCTGCATTCTTTCATTTCAGTTCAGTATCACAGCAAGCAAATTCCCTTTAAAATTTTATACCTTAGGGGTTGTTAATTTAATCAGGTCGTCAGCTACACTAATGAATTTTGTCATTCGCCAAACTACATCACTAAATCAACTTCGAGATATGTCGGAAGAGAGATCTTCGAGCCTTCATTAATATTTGTTACATAAGAATTTCTTTCTGAATTAAATCAAAGGTATTGCAAAGATCACTTTTGGTTCATTGTCGACGTTTATCCCGTAGTCCAATTCGTTCTCAGGCAAAGCCGGAGGTGCTTGTTTTTGAACCGGGAAATCAGCTGTTAGAGCTTTTGCACCATAATATATGTCATCATCATCATCATCATCCGTATCGTTATCGTCGTCATCCGCGATATCATCTTTTTGATCGTTCATTTGATTGATGAAAAAACCATTAGGTAATTGTACAACCTCATATTCGTCAATAGGTATATTCGATTTGTATTTGTTCAATTTGTTTTGTATAATTTTCGCCAAAATTATTAAATCTTCATCGTTTAATTCTATAATAATAATAATTTTAGGTGAAATTTTTTTAATAAAAGCATAACAAAATAAAATTTTAAAAAAAATATGATATGTACAAATACTCTTTTAATACAAATTACTATCAATTTATTATCAATTTAAAAATTATTAAAAAATTATTTGATGTTACATTGCTGGAGGGCGAATAAAATGGATATTCATTCCCTTGGAAACTAGGAAACTAGAGTTATTAAAAAAAATTTATAGCCACTGGTGCCTAATTGTATTGTCTCTTACAGGAGTGCCTATGCCTATTAAAACTTTCAGCATGGCTCAAAATCGTGCGACTATTAGCTATTAGCATTTTTGTTTAAAATCCATATCTATTATTAGATATTCCACAAACGTATTGCAGTGGAGAAGTGAAGTGAAGCATTGAAAAAGAATTCTCTCGCATTAACTCTCATTCCAAAGTGAATTCTCGCAAAAATATCGATATTCCCTCTAGGATGATTAAAATAAAATTAATTATAGAATGAGATCGAAACCGAAATTTTGAACTTTGCAAATTAAATTCACCATTTTCTGATAAGAAATTTATTGCAAAAAATATTCGACTTGCTTTCAATTAGATTCCCATAGATGTTCACATAGGTTTTTTTATGTTAAACTATTGAACGCTGAAGCGTTTTATAACGCGAAACTGCCTTACATTAGCTTATATTGGCTTATTGTGTCCTCTAAGCAGTGGCTATCTTTAATTTGAACCTCTAAAAGCAGCAGCCTGAAGCAGATGCGAAGCAAAACGTGAGGCTCACAAGGCTTTACTTAGCTTTTCAATACAATATGCTTAACACTGGAAAGAAATTTAAGTCATTTACAATCCTCGTTCGTCCAAAACCCCTTGCAGAGCTTTCTAAATTGACGAGGTGTTGCGCAGGCCCAGCGAGGACTATTCTCATTCAAAGGAAGCGATTTTATGAAAGTTTCAATTATTTTTCACCTATCAGAATTTAGCGAAAATTTTTTCATTAAATTTTCTTTAAATTATTTTTTTTCTTTTAATAACCTCTCCTGCAGAAATTTTCCTAAAATTCATGCAAAAATCGAATTATTTTCTATGTAATAAGAAATTTTCTTTTGACATAAAACGACTTTATTATTTGAAAAAATCCATAAGTGTTCATTCGTTTAAGTTCGCCTTGCCAATTAAATATTTCTTAAACAATTTTTATTGAAATTCCCGAGCTGTAAAGCGACGCAGAATTTCTCGAAAGCGAATCGCATAAAATGCTTATTTTTGCAGAAATCTTATCTTCTAATTGCTTCTAATTGCGACTTTTTTAACGGTACACATATCTCTCATCTAGTTCGGCTCCACTGATTATTCAGAGTGGCGTTCGTCTACCAGAGAGTCGTTCAAGAGATGTGAACCCGAGCAACCAACCGAATCCCACTTTTAATGCACATCGCGATGGATTTTGCATTAGCTATTTCTAGCAGCTTCGTTACCAAGTCAAAGTCGATTACAGACTGTGGACAGAATTGTGCAAATTTAAAGGACTATGAGCTCTATTAATCTGATTCTCTCGTTTATCTTCTCATTGAAGCCTTCCAGAGGAAGAAGTAATGGTGGACGAAAGTCGGTCTACCGTGATCTACCGTGATTTCTCACTGAAATCTATTTACATATAATTCGTCATAATTTTAACTGCCGATATGTTCACAGCAATTTCCGCCTCAATCAAAGTCATACTGCATGCATTTGGCCAAAGCTATCTGACAATTCCTCTCCGACTGAAGATTTCTTGAGATTGAGGTTAATCAAGGTTAAAATTTTGTTGGAAAAAGCGGAAATAATTATAAGCAAATCGTCGCTCTATAAATATTTGTTTCTTAACGTTAAAATGAACCAGAAAGATTTCATAAAGATACAAGGAAGACGACTTATCACAAATTTTTCTGGAAGATGAGCGTCTAAGACAAATTATATTGCTAGTTGCTGGCTTTTTAGCAGTTAAGCAGCCTTCATAAATAGTGTTCTTAAATGAAATTAAAAAATCTACCCGACAAATATTGGCCCAAATTACCGATGCCATCAGCTTCATTATTAATTTCGCGCTTTCTACGGATTATTTTGTCAACATTTTTTGAACCAATAATTCTCCTGTTGATTTTCGCAGTGCCATCTGAATAAGAATCTGAAAATCTAATAGTTAATATTTAATAAATAGCAACAATTTAATCTTATAAATCGAATTTCGACTCTTCATCCACCTTTTCAATCCTTCTTCATATTACCTGAACAACTTCAAGTGATTATTCCACTTTTATGCCTTTTCTTATTGGCGTGATTTACGTGAAACTTCGCGTGAGCTCCAGCTCTGCAGCTTCACTCTTTGCGTCTATTCCATATGACTTTCATAGAAATTTTTTTGCGATGCAATTACGGTAATTACAGCGTTAAAAGCTTGAAAATTCTTAATTTGGAATAGAAAAAGATTTATTGCGAATGCTTTCATTTCATTTTTTACAATAAATCAAAGCGAAATGCAAATTAAAGTAATGATAAAGGAAAAAAAAAGGAAAACCCATCGATAAAGAAATAATGCAATGATAAATTTTACCCGAAAATATTGTTTTCTTGCCGGCGATATGATTTTCATTATCCTGAAATCCAATAAATAAACAACTACCCCGCCTCTTTAAAAAATTCATTTTAATATTCTTTTTAATATTATACTTTTGTAAATAATAAAAAAAACTTACATAAATATTTTCCACAAGCTAAACACTAAATGAAAATTATTTTTGTCAATAAATTCTATCAAAAGGTCGGAGGTCAATTGATTTTCGATCTTTTTCATTGGAAATAAAGAATTGAAATGTGAATTTTCAGTGGAAAAGGAAAAAACGATAGTCAATTTATATGCGAAGAGATTTGACGTGAAAATTCGCAGTTTTTACAAATTTTGAATCCATTTCAATAAATTATGAAAATTCGAAAAATCCACAAAGTTATTGATGGAATTTTATTGCTTCGATGCATTTTTCAAAATAGCAATTTGAAATTTAAATTCGAGAAAAATTTTTTTCGAAATGAATCGTTTAATAATTTCTTATTAATTTGTTTTTTAATATTTAAATTTGTTCGATTCATGAAAAATTTTTTTCATTCTATCGTTATATTTCGATTTTTTAATATTCTATATTAATATGATTCTACATGATTTCATATTATTCATTAAATTTATTTGAATCGGAAGGATGTCAAAAACGAAAATCAATTTTATCTAAAATAGGAATACATTGATGATAAAGCAGCCAAGTGGATAGATGATGAGCTCCTTATTTTACTTATTTACTTGCACTGCGGATATTTAGCCAGTCGAAAACTTTGGATTTTCATGGCCAAAGACATTTTATACATTTATTTAGCAACAACGGTCAAGAAGAATGGCATATAGCCAAGTGCTTGGGCAATGACCCACAAGCAGACCTATAAAGAATGTAGAGAATGCTGCGTGAAAGCTGTAAACATTAATGGTATAAATCTTGATTAATGGCAAAAGCAAATGATATTCGTCAAATTGCCTATAAAAATTGTGGAATCTCTCGACATTGCTAATATTTTGACTAACTCTAATAGGTATTTTAATGCCGATGATCGGACAGTAGGTGCCTAATAGGCACTCAGAGAATCCATTATTCTAAGATGGCACAAACAAATGGTTTTGAGAAATTAAATGGCTTTAGGTTAAATATCAATTTAAAAGATTTCGGTCCTCTGGTAATATTCGATAAATATGTGAGCAGTATAATATAATTAGAAAATGGAATTCAGTAATCAGATCGTGATATTATGATAGCTGATAAGAGTTTTGATTTGACATACACAGTAGACTAAAAGCGCGAAATTTGCGATTTCTGCCTCAAATTTCATGTAATTGGAAACAGTGAATTGAACTCAGCTAAAACTTTTCGTAAAATTAATGAGCTGAAATTTCTTTCTTCACTATTAATTAATCAAGGATATGGTCCTAGCATATTTGTAATTTGTTCAAGGAAAAAAACGAAATTCCATTTTTAGATATGATTCAAACGATTTTCGGTTTATCATTTGTTTCTTGGTGCATGCGGTGCATCTGTTATACAAGTCTAATTCGAGATTAAAGGAAACTGAACATTTATCAGTCTTCTAATATGCTTATTGAGGGATCACCAAGTTCACACAATGGTTTACTGCGTTAATTGCTCACAAAGAAATGCGACTTCTGAGTTGAGTCGTATGGATATCCTTTAATAGTTCCAACCCACTGCATGATTTACTTATAGTATTGAGGCACAGAATTTGTCATGATTTAATGCGGCCATTAATGTAAAATTTTATAAGAAAATCCTGTTTGATTCGTCATATGTGTAGTGATGTACACATAACTTAAACTTGGTTGCACAGGTCATCGGTGCTCAAAAATTTTAGAAAATATTTCTACAATCCCTCAATAAACTTAACGGAGTCGCTGAATCGAGGAGATTAGCCAGCATAGGCGGTTCAAATAAATATTTATAAGCAGTTTACAAACCAGAAATTTTATCTCCGTTTTAAAATGATCGAAACATAAAATTGAGCTTAGATTTTGAATTGAAGAGTGAAAGGTTGCAGATATTTAATAGCCGAACTAGGTTGCAGTTTCGATTCCTGTCATAGTTTTTGTTTGCTTTTTCAGTAGTTCTACTGATCACTTCCCTTTCACCTTAAAAACATAGATATAATGCAGGCGAGTACCATAGGATTTCATTTTCAATAGAGGGTTTGGTCATGAGGAAGAGGAATCGAATTCAAGACACTACCTTAATTGAAGCAATTTATCACACCATTCTCACCTTCTCGTGGTTCTTGAACTGTT